ACCAATGCCATATGGCCTGGAGCAGGCCCCCCCTTAACAAGACAGCAATACAAGGCATGAAGAATCTTACGCTTCACAAAAGGTTAAAAATTTAAATACTCTCCAACTTTAGTGCAAGGCAAGCAAATGATACCACAGGTCCAAGTAGGTGCTCAGCCCCCAGGGGGCCTGGCTCAGAATGAGCACCAGGCAGCAGCACGCACACACACACGCACGCGTGTGCGTACATAGACACACACACAAGAGACGAGTTATTGCTTGGGACACAGCTGGGACGAGTGTGCACAGGAGGGGACAGGACAAGCACAACAGAGAGGTGGGTGAGCCCCACGCGGCTCCCCAGGGACACACAGGGGTCTAGCCCCTCCACTCCTGCCCTGCCCTCAGGCACAGGAGCTGTGCTGGCTCCCCAGGACCCCTGGGGACACACACTAAGCCGGTATGCTGGGTGGGCTGCTCCCAGCCCCACTCACAGCATGACCCCAGGAAGGGACATTCCCTTTACCACGGCTTTGCTCCCAGAGAGCAGGGTCCCTTACGTGTCTGCTCCTCCAATACCAAGCTGGGGCTGGGGACTGCAACACCCCCAGCATGCAGAGACGGCTGGTCTGGAGCTGGTTGGACTGTGCTGGGGCCATCCTGCTCCGTGCTGGGGATCAGACCGACCCTTTGGACCCACAGCAGGTACCTCCTGAGCAGGTGCTGTGGGAGCGGCTGTGTCCCGCTGTGCCACAGGCAGCCTGCCGGCGGTCTGGAGAGGGGGCCGGGATCAGCTCCCTGGAGCTGGCAGCATGTGCGAGACGAGGCAGGAGGAAGCAGGCTCCGGCAGACAGGGAAGCAGGGATGAGGCAGTGACGCTCTGCTGCCAGGATTGCAATGGTAGACGCTTTGGCACAGCAGTTTCCTGTGCCTCGGGGCTGAGCAATGGACTCCGCTGGAGCCAGGGACGCCTCAGCACAGCCAGGAAGGCCCAGGAAAGATGTTTTAGACACCTCAAGGCACAGAAGGCCTCTGCCCAGGACTCCCTGGTACAAAGCTGGCACTGTTGCTCCCCCCATAGGAGGACATTTGTGCCTGTGACAGGGTGGGGGCACTGCAGGTCCCCACCTATAGATTAAAAACTAACATGTGATATGTACAGACCGACGTATATAAATATACACCAAACCTGCAGTGCCGCTTTGGCACCGTGGAATGTGTCAGCAGAGCTGCTCCAGCCTGGCCTCGGCCCACGCTGGCGCAATCCCTCCCTCCCACCCTGGGCTCAGGAGGGGAGCAGCAGCCGGTGGGCGGCAGCAACACAATCCCAAGCGGCAGATTCAAAAGCGTCCAGGTCTGTCTTGGGGATGAGGGGCTTGCCCATGGCCAAAGGCGCCTTGGCCCGAGCCGCATGCTGCCCCCAGCCCTGGAGCCATCCTCACAGTTTTCAAATACAGACGTGTAAAGCTGTAAACAAATCCACCTTGTGGGGCCACTGCTACCTTTGTCCTTCAGGCTGGGCTGTTGTTCTGCTGGGCACCCGGAGAGGGAAGGGGGTCCCAGGGGCTGGAGAACAAGCTGTGCTCTACAGCCGGGTGGGCTCTTCCTCACTGTCGCTGCAGTTTCCACAACAGTCCTGAAGTCAGAAGGGCAAGGAGAGGGAGAAGGGAGAGAGAGGAGCACAGCAAGCAGAGGGTGAGCACGGTCACACAACCCAGCCTACAGCTGCCCTCTGGCAGGGAAGAGCCGGGTCCCCCCCAGGCCTGTGCGTGGGAGAGCTACATGGAGGCAAGGGGCTGGAGGGGACCCCCAGCCTGCAGAGAAACAGTCAAGCTGCATCTGGGGGTTCAGCTCCTGGCATACAGACCGGTGAGCACACAGCTGACTAGCTCAGAAGCTGGGAAGAAGATGGGCTCCACAGACTACAGCCACCCAGGGAGACAGCTCAGTGCCAGCACAGAGGATCTGCCCTGCTCAAGGCTCAGACGGCTGCAGAAGCAGCTGAAGCCCTTTTTGCTGGAATGGGAGGGAGTCTGAGCACGGGGCAATGCCAAACCTTCATGGTTTCTCAACCTTTCTGTGTGTCCTGGACATCCAAAGAGAGGAGTGAAGGGAACTTCCCACAGCCCCCCTGGGAGCAGAGCTCCCAGCAGCGGCGGTGCAGGGGCAGCTTTGGCTCAAGCTGAGGGCAAGGCCTCCCCCACGAAGGCAGCAAGAGTAGGGAAGCAAGATTAGTGGCTCAGGGGGCAGTTAGAACAACAAGCAGCTTGTGCTCTGCTGGGGGAAGGGGTTAGGCACTGAAGGACAACACTCCTCTTTCCCAGATCTTGCCAAGTCCGCGGGCCACCGGGTATTTCCCTGAGCAGAGCAGCCAGGACAGACTGCTCACCTCTGGAAAGAGAAAACACGCGGCAAATCACAGCTCAACCCCTGCCACAGGCAGCTGCCCATCCTCCAGCAGGTCCTGACTGCCTCGGGAAGGGCTGGGTATCCCAGCCCAGAGCTGGCTCTGGCTAGGGCAGCCCACCGAACAGTGAAGCACAACTCTGAGCTCCTCGGGGAAGCAGGAGTCAGCACCGGGTGGCTCAGAACGGGTCCAGAGCCAACCATGCTTGAGTCCCACAGCTGCAAGCAGCTGTTGAGAGGCAGCAGCCCAGACTTTGCCAGTCCTGGAAAGAACGCAAAGACTGTTCGGGGCAGAGGAGACAGGCAGGCAAGCAAGCCCATAGCAGCTGCAGGATGTTTCCGTTCTCCTCATCCCTCGAAAGCACTGCTTTCTCTGCCTGCTCCAGGTCATAGAATCATAGAATCATAGAATGTTTTGGGTTGGAAGGGACCCCTAGAGGTCATCTAGTCCAAGCCCCCTACAGTGAGCAGGGGTCTTGCAGAAACGCTCTGGGGAGCCCAGGAGCCTGTTCCAAGAGCAAGGTCTTCTTCAGGGATGGTATTATTCATGTAGGAAAGGAGCAGACTTGCTATTTTAGTGCCTTCAACAACATCCCTCTGCCTGTCTGACTGCAGCACATTTAGCCAGGACACTCCATCCCAGCCCCATCGACTCCTGCTGCATGGCGAACGGCAGCCAGTTGAGGGCTGGCTCCCTGCAGCCTTGTGTGGGTCCCCCTGAGAGCCCTGGGGTCTGGCCATTTAGCAGCAGGGGGAGACTGCGTGGTGCCCTCTCATGCCCACCTCCCTGCCAGATCTGCCTGGCACAGGCAGGAAAGGGCTCACTGCTGCCAGAGGACTTGCTGTGGAGGCAACACTGGGCAAACCCTCTTACCTGTCTGCTGAATAAGCGCTGGAGTAACCCTTTTTTGGGCTGTGGAGAAGGCTGCCCTTTCCAGTCCAGGTCTGGGGGCACTGTGCCGTCTGTGCTAAAGACATTCAGCTCCTTAAAACACTCTGTCTCGATCATCTGGAAAAGGACACAGAAGGCTGCAGCAACTGCCACACAAAGCCCGGCACCAAGGGCCCAGCAGAGCACAAGAGCAGCAGGGACAGCATGAAACCTGCTGGACACTGCACTCTGCCATGGTGGGCACAAGCAGGAGCAAAGACCCATCCTGAAAACCCACCTCATTCTGCCAAGGAATCGGCACGCTTCCCGTAGCAAACTTCTGGTAGAAGTCATTGTCTGTGGGCTCCAGCTCCACCCCTTTCACTGTGGAGAACTGCTCGATGTCCAGAACATCCTTGCAGTAGATGGCCTGGGGCTAAACAGCACAAGGACTGCTCTAATGCCAGGCTCCATGAAGATATCACCACCTCAAACAACCGTGGCTTATGACCAAGCCTAGGCCCCCTCTACCAGCAGCCCAGAGCTTGCTTGACCCCTGTTCTGCCAGGCTCCAGAAACAAGAGGGAAGGGGATGGGCCCCACCCCAGGGCTCCAGCTCCCCTTGAAAGCACCAGTGACTGAAGAGGTCAACACATGCACGGGCACTTACATCTGGCTTGAAGGGAGGGTCCAGCATGCCTGCTTCCAGCCTCTTGAAGTTGAGGTGCTTGAAGAGAGGGTGCTCCTTCACTTCCTTGGCCCCAGCTCCTCGGCACCCCAGGCGCTCCAGAGGGTCTTTGCACAGGAGCTGCAACACAAAGGAAATCAGTGTGGAGGAAGGAACCTGGGTAGAGGGTGCTTCGGGCAGGAGCAGCCCTCAGGTTGGCTGGGTTCCTGCAATATGTCTCTAGGGATGCCACGGTCCCACTAGGTGACTGGGAGAGCGAGGAATTAAGGCACTCTGGACCCTTCTGCGCTGCCTTATCAGAGCCAAGGGAAGCTGGCTGCCACCAGCACCTCTACAGGGAGCAGCATCAACGTTCTCCCACTGTGTGCAAAGAGGTGGCGGGAGCAAAGGGACAGGGATGCACACTCGTACCATGGTGCAGAGGGAGCGGGCAGAGGGCGAGAACTTCTCCGAGTACTCCTCCTGCACTTCCTTCACCAACCGCTCCACCTCCTCCCGCTTGATCTTCTTCTTGCGCTGCTGGAAGGGGGACTGTCCCTCGATCATCTCGTACACCAGGCAGCCCAGGGCCCACCAGTCTGGGCTGAACGTGTAGCGCTCGTTCTTCACCACCTCCGGAGCTACATGGGAGCAGGGGTGAGGGACGTGTGAGGGTAGGGAGAGGCATGTGTGCAGTCAGAAACCACTTTTTGATAAAACCAGGGCCACTTACCCATGTAGCCAACTGTCCCCACCCGGCCCTTGATTGTTTGGCCCTCCGGCACGTGCACAGCTAGCCCCAGGTCTGAGATACGGATGTGACCTGCACAGAGGAGGAGACAAGTTAACAGGACAGGATCAAGGCACAATGTTTGAAACCGCCAAGAACACAGAGCAACCCTGGTTCAAGCAGAGGAAGAAAGAAGGACTCAGGGCCAGGGATCCTCTTGACCCTACACTCACCGTGGTCATCCAGCAATATGTTCTCTGGCTTCAGGTCCCTAGGAAGGAAGGGACCTGATTAGCAAGAAGCCTGTTGTCAAAGCAAAGGATGCAAGCTACAGTGACATCTCAAGAAGTCACAGAAAAGCAGCAGAGGGATGCAATGCCCCTGCCTCGGGCACACAGGTAATTTTCCTCTCATCCTTGCCCTGGAGTTAGCTCTTTGAGCTCTCCCCTCCCACACAGAGAGGCAGGACATGACAACCTTCAACTCTCTGCAAGGAAGCAGTGAGCCTGTGGCCGATTCCCTTTTTGCAGGTGCAGAACTCATTATGGGACAAGCCATGCAAAAGAGAAGGAGCAGAGGCTTCTGCTTGTCCTGCCCCAGGGCAAGGCACAGGGTATGACTAGAAGGGACATTCTGTCACATGTTTAGCCATGCTATCCCTAACACTGCATCACACGAGACAGTGAGTATAGCTGTACAATCAGGTTGTTCTCCCTCCTGCCCAGCTCTCAGTCTTGAGCGTATCAGGGCAGCCTACCCTCCTTCGTCCTAGTGTCAATACTGCCCGGGGAGTTAAGCACTTTAAGCACCCAAGTGCGGGCCCGAGGTGTTCACAGCATGATCACATCCTGTTCTTGGTGATCATTTACCAGCATGAGGAAGCCAAGCTAAGCTCTCCCGCCTCTCCCATGAGATCAGCTTTCTGTTCCTGATCCCCTCTCACCCAACTCTGTGCTGCTTGCAAGCCTGAGCTTATTTTCTTGAGCAGACAGACCCAGCTGGGCTTAGTAAGAGCAGAAGGAACCCTCTCGCTTCTGCAGCCCATACAAGATCTCCCAATAGGGGCCGGGCAGCGCGCACCTGTACACTATTCTCTCCTGGTGCAAGTCTTCGAGGCCACAGCAGATTTCGGCAGCATAGAAAGCTGCCCGGGGCTCCTCGAAGCCAGCCTCTCCCATGTGGTAGATATGGAACTTGAGGTCCCCTCCATTCATGAGGGTCAGCACTAGGCAGAGAGCATCTTTAGTTTCATATGCATAGGCTAAGCTCACCTGCAATTCAGGGCAGAAAGGCTGTTAGAAGACACAGCTAGAAGAGGGAGGTGCTCACGCTCCGATGGGCACTTTGTCACCCAAGCAGCCACTCACGAGCAGCAGGACTGGGCCTTTGCCAGCAGAGGAGGCAGAGGGGGAGCTGTGCAAACCCAGGGAGGACGTGGAAGGGCCCAGCAGCCCCAGCATACCCCCAGCTTTCCTCAGACAGGGAAGACACTATTTCCCTAAGCCGGAACTGCTCCCCTCCAGGGGCAAGCAGCATCCAACAGCAACCTCAGGGCAGCAAATAGTGAATCCTCCATAAAGGGAGGTTTCAGGTTGTCCACACCTCAGTGCAGCCAGGGAGATAGCTCCCCACCACAGCTCAGGGCTAGGCTTCTGCCCACTTGGCTGCCTGGAGAGACAGTTCTTGCTGCTTTCTTGTGTCCCAGAGGTTAAGAAAGTGCCTATGAGACCACATGGGTGTTTGGGGGCATTTACAGCATCTTGTGGAGGCAGTAGGAGGTCCTGCCAGACCCCAGCCTTGTGAGAGATCTGCAGCTGCCAGAACCCTACCCCATGGGCAGGGCCTGCTCCTGCCTCTCCACATGGGGTGAGGAGCACAGAGGTACTGGGCTGACTGGTTGGAGGAAGAATCAACCGCAGCAGCAAAGTTGAGAGCAATTCCTATGTACTTACTACAAACCTACTGTTCACTTTTTCCAGGATCTGTTTCTCATTCAGGGCCATGGCCTCTCCTTTCCGCTTTTTGATCCGTTTCTTCTCTAGCTTCTTGCAGGCATACATCTTCCCTGTGGCACGCACTTGGCAGGCACAAACCTGGAGGGGATGACAAGGCTCAGTACCCTCCCACTGCCATTTCCAGGCTGAGGGTCTAGGTTCTGCTCTCAGGAAGATGCAAGGGAAAGCAAAGATGTCCTTGTCCCTGCCTCACTCTGAGGTTAGCAAGGAGTCCGTTGTCAAAGCAAGGACACAGGGAACAGTGACATCTTCACATGTCACAGATAAGCAGCAGAGGGCTGAGATGCCCCTGTGACCTGTAGCAGCACCATGGCTGGTGCCTGGGAAGACAGAAGGCCACTCCAGAAAGAGAAGGAAGCCTGACAGTGGCAGTTTTCAGGAGTGCAGTTTCCCCTGCCAACCAGTAAGCACCACAGGGCATGTACTACCTACCCTGTGCAACACCTTCCACACCTCCAGTGCCTGGCGAGAAGGGAGTTCCTGCCCCTCAAGAGGGGAACTGACAGATCATGCAATGCCCAGAGCACAGCAGTGCCCAGTGCAGGGCCCCCCCAGCCAGCAGCACCTGCCTCCAAGTGCTGGAGCAGCTCGTGGCACCCTGATGGCCAACCCAGGCCCACATCTGGCAGCAGGCAATGTTGGCTGCCTGGTACCCCCAATGCAAAAGAAATGCTGACTGCTCACCTCCCCAAAACCGCCCTTGCCCAGCACACGGTACTGGCGGAAAGTGTTTTTGGTCACTGGCTGCCTGTGAGGGAAAGGAAACTGGAGTGAGATGGGAGCAGGGAGAGAGTAGGGGCTGAAGCCCAAACTGCCCCCATGCCCTGGCCTGAGAGACTGTGGCCCACCGCAAAACCCCTGCTCAAGCAGACCTTGCTTCCCTGCGAGGAGAGCAAGGCTAGGGCTGCTGATGGTGCCAATAAAGGGCCCTGAAGGAGCACAAGAGCAGACAAAGGCCAGGCCCTTGGGTCCTGCTAGGGCCCAGCACAGGAAGGAGCCCAAGGGACCCCTCAGGCAGCCCATGCGAGCAGGGTGCAGGTCTCCCAGCAATGCTGGGAAGTGTTACCGTTCCAGCCATTTCCACTGCAGGAAGCGGTTGAAGTACAAGCTGTCGAGGTAGTCAGCAAAGGGAGCCACGCTCAGGTAGTCGTGGATAAGCCTAGGAGAGAGCAGAGCCAGCAAGGTTGCCAAGAGCTGATCCCAGACGTGGAAGAGCCTGGCAGTCCAAGGAAAGAGGAGGTGAGCAGGCCTGAGAGCCCGGTCACATTGCCATCCCCTCACCCAGCCTGGCGCTGAATCACCCACGCACCCCATGCAGCCCTGGCCCAGAAAGCCCACCCTCTGCGCTATGCCTGATGCAAAAGGAAGGCGTGTTGGAGGCACCGCTGTAACAGCACCCTGGGACCTGGGCTGGCACTGCTAACCGTGGCCTCTCAGCACCAGCCCAGGCTGCGGGACAAAAGGTGACAATGGGACACTTTGCAATTGCTCCCCTGCTCACAGGACAAATGCACACACAAGGCTGTAATCAGCTGCTGAAAGCTGCTAGCAATGTTCAGCACCAGGGGCTGAGCTGTTCGCTTTCAGATGAATATCCAGCACAAAAGGCCACAGGAGATCCTGCTTGAGAGAGCTGACTGCCTCAGGGACCAGAGCCAGGGCTGCCCAGCAGAGTAAAGAGCCTTAGACATAGTGTCTAGACTGGAGACATGCATCAAGGAGAAGCGGACGGGCTTTTCCTCTTTCAGCGCTTGCCAAGAGCGGGCAGAGCCCAGCCCGGAGGCTCTGCATTCAGACAGCGACACTAGTTACCACACACAGAGCTAACGCTCCCCAGAAGACTGCAGCAAACCCATTGCCACAGCCCTGCACTCGATTAGGCAATGTGCTCCAGCTACTGTTCAGGGAGGGGTGGAGGCCATAAGCCCAGTTTGCCTAACAGCTTCCGATTCACACCCTGAGCCAGGACCTCAGTCACTGCTTCTGCGATGGGAACAGAAGCGACCTTTGATCCCCGCAGCAACAGCCAGTGTAACCTAACCCCAACAGCCACATCTGTGGCCAGAGGGAGAGGACAGCTGGCATCGGGACTGCAGCTGTCAACTCCGCTCTACGGGTGCCTACGAGATCCTGGCACAAGACTAGGAACAGCATGGCCAGATGCTGAGGCTCACTGAAAGAGGTCTTCCCAAACGGTACTCAGATTCATGGCAGACTGAGAGGAGTGACAGAGGTTTCTGCAGCAGCTTGTAGCTCCCAGAGCCCATGGGAGCTCCTTGCATTTCCTTTCCTGTAGCTGTGCTGAAAACCACTAGCCCAAAACTCCCCAGGCTCCAGCCTTAGCACCAGCCCTCAGTCTCCTGGAGGAAGGGACCACAAGGGACAAGGTGAGTTAGGTGCAGCATCTTCCCCATGACATGGTGTGGCCCCAGCCCTCCAACTTACTTAGTGGATTCCTTGAAGAGTTCCTTGGAAGGTTCCTGCTCCAGCCTCTCACAACAGGCATCCACCAGCTGTGAGGGGACTTCAGGCACATGGTCCTCACTCTGGGGACAAAGGGATGGAGTCAGACATAGGGAGCAGAGCACAAGAATCCTCCCAGGAAGGAGAAGCCCACAGTAACAGCACACAGGCACCCATCTGCTTTAGGGACAGTCACAATAGCAGCAATGGTTGCTTGTGAGATAGTAGGGTGGCTCTGTACTCTGCCCTCACCATGCTGCCCAGCACATTTGCTGTGGCGGGACATGGTTAGTGACAGCCATCAGCTTTCCAACTGCTCTACCATTGCAGGCAGCAAACACAACCCTCTTACTCACATTTGGCTTCAAGTACTTTTCAATCAGGTGCTGCCCGCATTCCTTCCGCTTCTCATCTGGAGCCACTTCGTACCCTGCCTGCACAGAGCAAACAGCATGAGGAGCAGGTCCAGCCAGGAACCGAGCCTTGCTACTGGGCAACAGCTGCAGAGCCACAACACCCTCTGCCCAAGGTTTCCCATGCTTTCCTGGAAAGCCAGATCTCCAGCAAACAGCTCCCTAACCAAAGGCCCAGCCCTATCTTGCAGAAATTGCAACTCGCAGTTTTTCTATTCAGGAAAACCCTACATGCCCAGAAGTACCTGGCAAGTGCCAGAGGACCCAGGGCCAACCAGTCTGTGCCCAGGGCGCCAAGAACATCCCTGCCTCCCCCAATGAAGCCCAGGTTTCCCATGCTTTCCTGGAAAGCCAGATCTCAGGGCGCCATGAACATCCCTGCCTCCCCCAATGAAGCCTGATGGGCTTTGCTCTTACCACAGCATCCAGGAACTTGACGCAGCGTGACAGCTCAGGTCGTGTCTCACAGAACTGCCGAAAGAGCATGTGCCCAATGGGCTGCTTCTCACATAGGCTGTGGTAGTCCCGCTCTGCAAATGTGGAGAAGACCACTCACTGCCAACCCCTGAGGAGCAGCCACAGCCCACCGCCCTGGCCACAGGTGGTGGTGGAGAGGCCTGCGACTTGTCAGCTGGCTGCTCACACCAGCCTGAGACTCCCAGGAGAGTGAAATGCACCCAACGGGAACAAAAGGCGTGACCAAGCTTTTACATTCCCCTATGGAAGATCCTCTTCCCTGGAAGAGGTTTGACCTGCTGTTCTGTACAGCCTGCCCCTCTTGTTTCTAGCAAGGGATCTTGGTGTCTCCTGCTTGCCTGGAGGCTCTCTTCTCAAACCTGTCCCCAGGAGATTGACTGATTACTCCAGACACACAACTTGTCTTGGAACATGAGGAACACACCGACCTTATTTCGAGGCAGATCGTCCAGGCCAAGAGTTGCTCTGATGATTCTTACAAACCACTCGTATTCCCAAAGGCCCTGCTGGAAGCAGCAGCATCAAAATGCGGGGCACCATTTCCACAGATGTCCTGATAATGCTGTGCACAGCAATTAGAAACCTCCCCCGCCTTGATGGGACAGCCGCTCGCTTGTACATCAACTCCTATCACCCTCTGGAGGTCGGCTTCCCTGCTGATTCCTCCTACCCCTCTATGAAGTCTGGCAGCCCAGGCACAAATTCCTTTAGCTATCCAGAGCACTTCCGGTTCTCTGCTTTTTTTTAACTCCCCTTCCACTCATAAGATTTTGTCTGATCATGGGCCAGAACAGATTTGTTACAGCCATTGCCACCGAGGGTTGCAGGCTGCCTGGGGTGCAGATGTGCAGCCGTCCAACAGCTCGCAGGGGATCTTCCAGCGCTCCCTGGGGCTGGGTACTGCCGGCCTTCCCCTCCCCGTGCAGTAGTTTCTCCCGAGGAAGCTGTGGCTTCCTGAGAGTGCACAAGATTTCCTTATGTCTGCAGAGGAAGGAGTTCCCTTCAGCTGGGGAGGATGAGAGCTTGCTGCTGGCAAGATCAGAAGCTTTCAGCTGCCCTCGCTGCTGCCCAGGCTCACACAAGGTTGCTCCCTGCGGTCAGGGCACACAAACCTTAATTCTGCAGTGGGCAACCAGCCCACCATACCCATAGTCCTGCCAAGACTCTGGAATAGGAACGAAATGCCTTTCTAGGAGTTCCCTTCAGCTGGGGAGGATGAGAGCTTGCTGCTGGCAAGATCAGAAGCTTTCAGCTGCCCTCGCTGCTGCCCAGGCTCACACAAGGTTGCTCCCTGCGGTCAGGGCACACAAACCTTAATTCTGCAGTGGGCAACCAGCCCACCATACCCATAGTCCTGCCAAGACTCTGGAATAGGAACGAAATGCCTTTCTAGCAGGCTGAGAGGGGAAAACAAAACCACTCCAGCCAAAGAGCGACCCAAGCACGAGGAACAGGGCCATTTTTCCCACAGGGAAACGAAGTGAGGTGGCTGCCACCTCGGCCAGAAGCAATTCTCACATGCCTTCCCAAAGGGAAGTGGGGACACAGGCGGTGACAGCCAGCCGCTGAGAGGGACTTGCATCCCAAAGCATCACAAGGTCACTGTCCCGTACAGTGGGACAGCAGAGACAGACAGACCACCAGCACTTGCCACCGGCAAATGGGCAGCACAACAAAGGTGAAGTTTAGTGCTGGAAAACATGTCATGACACCCACAGGAAGGGCGGCTGCAGGCAGAAGATGGGCATCAGTTTGACGGAAAGCTCTGCTGCAGGCACACAAGTCAGAGAAGCAGATAGGGGTTGAGATGGCCAAGATGGGAGCTGCAAGGAGAGCCCAGGCCAGACCTGTGCTCAGTGCTCAGGACCTGCTCCAGAGAGGCAGTCTGCAGCAAAAACAAAGCGAGAATCTCTATCTGACTACACTCAGCTGCGAAAGCAGCCCCGGGAGGTGGTGCACAGCGTGCACAGCAGCAGAACCAGGCTGTTGTGAGCTTGGATGATGGAGGTTGAGTTATTCCAAGTGCTACAGTCCCCTGTGCCCTCAAAGGGAGCCTTGGAACTGCCAGGACCTGGAAAACCTGGTCAGGGTGGAACTGGGGACTGGAGCTGCAGAAACCTCCCAAACTCATGCAGCCCAGTGACATGTGCTCTGCAACAAGGCCAGCGCTGTGCCACTCTCCAGCTGACAGCTGAATCCAGAGTGACAACTTAAACAAGCTCCCCCCTTCCCAGGAAGCAGAGCATTTCCACCCTCTGTGCCCCAAAACAATTTCACGTGAGCTCAGGACCAAGCCTGCTGCACAAACAACATTAAAACCATGAAGAGTACAAAGTGCAGTATTAAAATGACAGGCCAAGCCCTGCCCAACTGTACAATTCTCATCCATACTGCACAGCAAGAAACCAGTTTTGCCCGAGTAAAGCTGCTGTGTTAGAAGCCGAGAGCTGCAGAGCAGGGCTGAATCCCAGCCAAGGAGTCCAGAAAATGTTAGTTGAACCTTTGTTATTTATGCAAAGGCACCCCAGAGCAATGCTCCAAAGCTCTGCAACACCGAGCAGGTCTGTTTGCCCAGAGAAGGGTGCCTATCTCTAGTGAAGCTCCTCACAGCCTGGAAGGCATGCGGGTACATCAACAGGCACTATCCAGTGAGCGTCACGCAGCTGTGACTTACCCATCTATTGTTTCTTCCCTACATCCTGAGCTCTGAGTGAACCTGCCTGGGTTTTGGCCGACATGTGCCCCCTTATATGTCCCTGACCCTCACGGGACTCAAATTCCTTCACGTGCACCCAGTTTTGGGTGCACAACACCCACACACGCTCACCCACCAGCCCCGCTCCAGAGCGGAGCCTGGGCACTGTTCAGCTCCCACCAGCCGCCGCATCTCACCGAGGGTTTGTCGAAGATCCTCGCAGAGGCTGATGTGGGGGAACTGCAGCATCTGGCGCCATTTCTTACTCTTGCCTTTCCTGTTTCCGCCACCACCTGCAGGGCACACAAAATCGGTACCATCAGTTATGAAGCAAGAACGTCCGACTGCAGCCTAGCCTTACCAGGAGCCGAGAGAGGAGGCACCCTCTGTCTGTTTACACGAGCAAGCCCAGGCAAGGAAAACAAGAACCAAAGTGGTACTGCCGTCTCCTGGCTGGTAGAACAAAAGCACCAGAGCCTCTGACTGCCAGAAGAAGCGGACGGACCAACCACTCTGCCAGCTGAACAGCCGCAGCCAAGAACTCGAAGACCTTTCACCTGGACATCTCAGTGACTCATATTTAACTTTGGAGAATCAGGGCAGGGGCAGGAGTGCCTAAAGCCACAGGTTACTCGATGCCTGCACAAGAGTTCTTGGCTCCCAGGCCTGTCCTCAGGACCTCTGCATAACTAATCACCTCTCCAGGCCAAGCCTTGCTTGGTGTGAAGCTCTTCCTGCTGTAGTAGTAATGTTCCTGCCACCTACTCATTCCAGACTGATTGCTTAGTCCAGGGAGGGGCTCTCAGAGAGAGGACACGAAGCTGGGAGACAGGAATTCCTGCTCTAATCCTGGCTCCACAGACAACTCACTGCATCGCCCCAGGCTCACCACTTCAGTTTCCCACCTGTGAAGTAGAGACACTCCCACCTTTCTCCACAGATAAGCCAGCCTCAGAAAAGTGAGATCCAAGAACTAGGTATTATTCCAGCTTCAGTTGCTGGAGTAAATGCCCCAGTGCTGTAGGACAGGGTGGGAAAGCTTCTAGATAGACCAAAAAATTTACATCATAGCAAGCACTAAGTACTGAAATACTTGTGTGTCTGATTGCTGGGATCAGCCAACCTCCAGGGATTGCCTTCCCCCAACCCAGTGCCAACACACACACACATGCACACAATCTCCCACCTCCCTTTGGAAATACATTAAATCACCCTTTGGGCCAAAGGCACTGCTTTCTGAAATCAGGGGAGGTTGAACATCATTTATCAGCTCTTGAGAAACACTTTCATAACACTTTCCTCCACTGTGGATGCAATTCAGCCCCTAATCCTAGACACGGTCCCAGGGGCATCCAGCTCCCGGCGTGGCAGAAGGCTTTGGCTGGACAGGCAGGTGGGATGGGCTGTCACAGCCAGCCTCCTGCAGGGCCAGCCCCAGGTCCGAGCCCCTGGCACACTGCGGGTTGCTGCACTACATCTGCCCTGCACCAGCAGCTGGGCTGCACGATTATACAAACTCAGGAAGGAAGTGACTCAAGGGTAAGCAGGGGTGGAAGAAACCAGCAGCACAGACACCTTCTTGTCAGCCACAGCTTGCGGCAACAAAACAGATGGGGGCAACTAAGCGAGGGCACGGGAGGACAAGCCATCCTCACCCCAAGAGCGCCCAAGGAAAAGCAGAGCTGTGCCCCACAGCACCCGAAGGACCGGCAGCTTGCATTTCCTTGAGTTGTTTGCTTTGAAAGGAGGCTCCAGTGCCATTCACCCATGGTTCTCCCCCACCCTCCCGGTGCCGCAGCAAACAGCCCAGCAGAGAACTTGTCTCCTACATGCCAACCACCCATTTCGGGGACAGGGCAAGGGGTTGGCTGCCTCCACCCAGAGCTCACCACAGGGGAGCTTCAGGGCTTGGTAATACCTCAAAGCTGAGTCTGTTGTTCCTCTGCCAGAGGCCAGCAGGCAAGTGGGACAATGGGGGAAGGATCTGTCACCTTCCTGGGGCCAAAACTTCCTAGAAATGTTTGAAGGAAACAGAGCACAGTCATCCTATGGCAGCAGCTGAAGATGGCTGTCAGCAGTCCCCTCAACTCATCCAGGGTGATCTCAGCCCCGCACTCCCATACCAGACCACGAGGCTCCCAAAAAGGCTGAGCTGGAGAAAAGCACCCAGTGCTGCCAGACCTGGCCAGCAAAGCAGCTCTGTCCTGTCACACAGGCTGCCAGAGCTTGCCCCAGTGGCCACCACTGCCACCCAGACACAGGTGGGAGACCCATGGAAAGGCAGCACAGCCACCCGCGGCTCTCACAGGCCAGAAACCATCCAGCACAAGTGTGCCAGTGGATTGCATCTGCCTGCAGCCAAACTGCCCACGGCCTGCCAAGGCTGAGGCACCAGGGGAGTGCTGTGAAGCACCGTAGCAGCCGTCTGACACCTTGCTCTGCATCAGCAACCAAACTCTGCTCTGCTGAAGGCACAACAGGAACCAGTCTCCTGGTCACTCACTGTGGGAAGCACGGTCTCGTGTCCAGAGGTCACCAGTGCCGCTGCTTGGTTTTGTCTGGATTTGGTTTTGAACCAACCCTTGTCATTATGAAACATAATGCCATGGTCCAGCATGGTCATCATGCCTGAAGTACCTACACTACGCCTGATTTCCAAGCAGCGCAAAAATGTTTCTGCCTGTGTAAATTTAATTTTGTTGCTCTTTGCTCCCACAAATCCAATCTCTAAAGCCCTCTAACTAGATTTCAGCAGGCCCCTCAGGCTCCAGATTGACTTGGTCTGGCCAGCTGCACACCGCGGGCCAGCAGGGACTGTACTTCCCCGCCACTTTACACGATCTAATGAACTCCCCGACTCCTGGCTGAATCAGATCTTCTCTGCAAAGGACCAGGCTCCTGTGTGACAGACTTCCCAGCTCCCTCCTTAGGCCATCCTGAGGCTTCTCTGCACGGCAGGCTGCATTCCCCGCCGAGGCCCCAGCATCCAGCCATGACCCCTGAAGCAGCAGGAGCTTTGTGGCCCTGCAGCAAAGCTCCTGGAGCTGAGCGGACCAGGGGCCGGGGCTGGTGTGAAGGCGGCGGAGGGGTGGGGCTCACCGCTGCAGTTTTGGGATCAGCCCTTGCGTGGGAAGCAGCAGTTTACCAGCCTGAAATCAATTTTTTCTCCTAAAGCTGCTTTTTCCCCCTCTGCCAGAGGAGCAGGAGCAGCCTCTGGAAGGGGTAAGGCTGGAGGCTGCCCGCACCAGCAGGAGGCGGGCAGGGTTTCCACAGAGAGGCAGCGAGGCGGCCCCGGGAGGGCCCAGCACCCCCCGGAGGAAGCGCAGCCCGGGGCGCTGAGCAACTCCCAGTTGCCCGGAGCAGCGCCCGGCGCCGGGGCCTCA